ATTTGTGTGATTTTTGTTGTAATTGTATTTTAGTTCTCATTTGTAAGTTGTAAAGTAGAATTAGGAATTATGGTGTTGGAAAGGGAGACTTTGAAGTGAAGAAAAAGGAGATTTGACTGCCCTGGAGGAAAAACCCGACCGGGTATCAACCCACACCCGGTCGGGTAGGAAGTGAAAACCGAACTAGCAAGGAAATTGCTAGGCCCGGTCGGGCCCACTACCCCACCCGGTCGGGTGGGACTTGACCGGGGACAATCCGACGTGCTAAAAACAAGGAATCGTGGGCAAATATTTGATTTTGACATTTACCCGGTCGGGTATGCCCATTTACCCGGTCGGGTAAATGCCCCAGGGTATTGAAAACACCTATAAATAGCCCCATTTTCCTTCACTTTTAATAACTCCTTCTTCCATACTCTTAAGCTCAACTTAGAATAGTATTTCTTTTATATTTTTTTAGCATGTTTAGTCTCCAAATGAGGAGCTAAACTTCCATTTCTTGGTGTTGCTCTTGAAGCTTGTTGATTATTAAAGTTGTGAGTTATTTTCTTAACTTCTTCCCTTGAATATTAATTATTCTCTTAATCTATCTATATATTAATGTTGGGGAGTGTTGCTAAGATGACAATTAGTTAACATCTCGACATTAGTTATAGTAGTATTTATTTTCTTCCTCTATATATTAATGTTGGGGAGTGTTGCTAAGATGACAATTAGATAACATCTTGACATTAGTTATAGTAGGATTATTCATATTTAATCTTCTTCCTTGAATATTAATTCTTCCCTTAATCTATCTCTATATTAATGTTGGGGAGTGTTGCTAAGATGACAATTAGTTAACATCTCGACATTAATTACTACTAGAAACGATCAACGAACCGATGGCTAATCGTTGATGGTTTCACAAGTAAGTAACTTCGGTTTATTAATGCACGGTTGTGGTTAATAAACTTAAGAGGGATTAATTTTGTTGGTTAAACCGAAACCGTTGTGTTGAGGTTATCAATCTCAATTGATTTCATCAAGGAGTTAAGAGATTAAATGCTACTATTAAGTCGGTATATGGCGGTGTTCTATACATGACTAATAGTAAGGGTTATTAATGAACGGTCGTTGTTAATAACTACCCTCGATGAATTGGATATACTCCTCGATTGAGTATTCGAGAGGGGATTAGTTATAGATATAACAATGATCGACTAAAATATATCAACAAGTGGAAAGTAGCAATGCCAAGTCCTTTTTATCTTTGAATTAAATCACATATAACTCGTTCATCTTCGTGTTTAAATTTAAATTAAATCTCTCAATCAAAACCCCCCTTTATTTACTAGTTACATAAAAAGAGAATTATTCCTTTCCCTGTGGATACGAACTCTACTTCACCTATACTACGTGTAAGTGTTAGTATTGAATTTATTTTGAGTGCACTCACGACAAAGTGCACGTCAAATTTAGAGTTTTATGGAATTTTCACATTCATACTCTTTATTCTTGTTTTAAAAAAAAAAAAAAAAAAGCTTGTTAAGTTGAAAACCTGAAAGGGCAACTTAAGCAAAAATAAAGCAAAAATAAGAGTGAGTTGTGAGGATTGAAACAGAAAAATGTGGGAAGCTGGGATGAAAACCCGAAAGGGCACCTAGGCAAAATGAGAGAATGAGAGAAAATATTTTCTTTTCTGCAGGATCCTAAGGGTAACGAAAAAAAAAAATGAGGTTGATAAGAAATATGGAGTTAAAGACCCCTCTTTACTGTTATATTTTGGGGGATATTTTTTGTGTTGTTCTAAAAACACACGTGGATGTTGGTGTTGATACTCTTGTCAATTTAAGGACTTCTTGGACTGGATTTGGTTTACTCGAGACGAGTAAAGGTTCAAGTGTGGGGGTGTTTGATATGCACTAATTAGTAGTGCATAAGTGTGTGTTTTTGTGTTTGATTTGTGTGTATTGTTTATCGTTTTATTTAGTTTGTAAACATTTGTGTGATTTTTGTTGTAATTGTATTTTAGTTCTCATTTGTAAGTTGTAAAGTAGAATTAGGAATTATGGTGTTGGAAAGGGAGACTTTGAAGTGAAGAAAAAGGAGATTTGACTGCCCTGGAGGAAAAACCCGACCGGGTATCAACCCACACCCGGTCGGGTAGGAAGTGAAAACCGAACTAGCAAGGAAATTGCTAGGCCCGGTCGGGCCCACTACCCCACCCGGTCGGGTGGGACTTGACCGGGGACAATCCGACGTGCTAAAAACAAGGAATCGTGGGCAAATATTTGATTTTGACATTTACCCGGTCGGGTATGCCCATTTACCCGGTCGGGTAAATGCCCCAGGGTATTGAAAACACCTATAAATAGCCCCATTTTCCTTCACTTTTAATAACTCCTTCTTCCATACTCTTAAGCTCAACTTAGAATAGTATTTCTTTTATATTTTTTTAGCATGTTTAGTCTCCAAATGAGGAGCTAAACTTCCATTTCTTGGTGTTGCTCTTGAAGCTTGTTGATTATTAAAGTTGTGAGTTATTTTCTTACTCTCTCTTCTTGATTATTAATTCTTCCCTTAATCTCATTCTACATCATTGTTGGAGGGTTGCTAAGTGACGATTAGTTAACGTTCCAACATTGATTATTACTAGAAACGATCAACGAACCGATGGTTAATCGTTGATGGTTTCACAAGTAAGTAACTTCGGTTTATTAATGCACGGTCGTGGTTAATAAACTTAAGAGGGATCAATTTTGTTGGTTAAACCGAAACCGTTGCGTTGAGGTTATCAATCTCAATTGATTTCATCAAGGAGTTAAATAGATTGAATGCTACTATTAAGTCGGTATACGGCGTTGTTCTATATTTGATTAATAGTAAGGGTTATTAATGAACGGTCGTTGTTAATAACTACCCTCGATGAACTGGTTATACTCCGCGATTGAGTATTCGAGAGGGGATTAGTTATGGATATAACAATGATCGACTAAAATATATCAACAAGTGGAAAGTAGCAATGCCAAGTCCCTTTTATCTTTGAATTAAATCCCATATAAATCGTTCATCTTCGTGTTTAATTTAATTAAATCACTCAACAATCAAAACCCCCCTTTTACTTACTATTTATATAAAAAGAGAATTATTCCTTTCCCTGTGGATACGAACTCTACTACACTATACTACGTCTAAGTGTTAGTGTTGAAATTACTTTGAGTGCACTCACGACAAAGTGCACGTCATCGGGGAAGCTAGAGAGAAGTGTAATGCTTGAGAGTACAAAATTGTTAACCCTTTACATTGAAATAAATGTTGTTATTTAGTGGGTAGGCGGAGGGGGTGATGTGGCCGCCCCCGAGTGGATGGAGCCCCAACCGCAAAATCTTCCATATCTTATGCAACAAATGCGCTTTCCGCCATCTGCCTTGGGCCGCTCTTCCATGGGAAGTTGTTGGATTGAGGGAAGAAGCCCAAGTGGGGAGAAAGTGTCGTATGTCTTCAACCGAGCAGCAGGATCCGGGCGATCGCCCCAAGCTGGCAACATTTGCAGATGGCCCGTGTGTGATTTGGGCCTGTAGGGATATTTGGACATTTACTAGGTCGGGACCTAATATCCCAACTCGATATATAAAATCTTGGACTTTTTACTTCTATCGAGATGACGTTTCTGGACAAAACCCCGATCTTTACATCACTACACGTACAAAGTTATGTTGTTTGTTATTTATGGAGGTCATAATATTGATAATCAGTTCAATTCCATATGGATTTAAATCTTTGAATGAGGGTTGTGTTTGTCTTGTTTTATTTTGTTATGTTTGCATTTATAACAATCAAACGATATAAAATGTAAGTTTTGAAAGTGAATTACCTTTAGAAATAATGTGGCTATATTCAAAGCAATTAGCAATGAACTGGATTACTGGAAAGATGTGAAAACAAAATGGTTCCGGCCATAGTTCAAAATGTAACCAGACCATTCATTGGATTTCCTCCGGCCATTATTTAGTTATGCCACAATATACCTTGTCTCATAAGCATGCAATATTTTTAGGTGTCACCGCCTGCTGCACACACAGGGGAGGATCTATGTATGCACTACGGTGGGCTGAAGCCCGGGGCAACTTGAAATTTTTTCAACTTTTTTAGTGTGAATTTTTTAAATTTTCATATTTAGACTACCTCAAAAATGTTTAAGCCTAGTATAATTGCTTTTTAACCCAGGGTATTTAAAATTCCTGGATCCACCCTTGTGCACACAGTCACACACTAACCTAGTGTTATACGTAGATGTATTTTATTAAGTGTGTTTAGCGGTTTAGGTTTAATAAAAATGTTTCACAATGATATAAAGTGCCTCATAAATCACCTTTTCCAGGCTCCAAGCTGTAGAAGTGGAATAGTTAATCACTATGGCTAGGGGTGGACCGGTTCCGGTTCGGGCCCGGTTCGGGCCTGGGCCCGGCCGGGCCTCGGTTCAGAAAAAGGAGGCCCGAGCCCGAACCGGTGGTGGGCGGTTCCGGTTCCGGTTCCGGGCCAGAACCGGGCCGGGCCGGGCCACCCGGAATGTTTTTTTTTTTTCTTCTTCTCTTATTTAACCCCCTACCCCTCCCCCTCCACCCCAAACCACCCCAAACCACCTCAAATGGCCCAAAATACCTAATCCAACCCAAAACTTAAAAAAAATTCAAAAAAAAAAATAAATTAAATTCCGGCCCGAACCGGGCCCGGCCCGGCCGGGCCGGTTCACTAAACTGGAGGCCCGGGCCCGGACCGGTATACCACCGGGCCGGGAGGCCCGAACCGGAACCGAACCGGTTCACCGGGCCGGTCCGGGCCCGTACAGTAGCGGGCCGGTCCGGTTCCGGGCCGGTTGGCCCGGCCCGAGTCCATCCCTAACTATGGCTGAGGCATGGACACTGGTTTGGTCCAACTCTGAATCAGGACAAACCAGGCCGAAAAAGTTGGAGCCTTTATTGAAAGTTTGAAACACTGGATAAGTCATCCCAGTTAATGTGATATAATGTGATATCGATTTGGATCAGTCCCGTTACTTCCAAGCATCAATTCCCTTTTACTCATTGAAATATTGTTCACAGAAAGAGTAAGATAGTGCAAAAAAGTGGGGGAGATAGGTAAACAAATGAAAAGTAGTACGGAGTAAAAAACAATGAATCTGTGTCTTTTGATATGGCAGATTGGCAGTAGTTATCAAACAGAAAGTGGAATATATATATAAGAATCTGATTTTAGTCCTCAATTGAGCGGTTTGGACTTTGGATACTCATCACCCGTTTCAGTTTCAGTTCTAACTTCTGATTCAAAACCGGGAAGTGTCAACCTGTACTATTAGTAATAGCACTTACTACAACAGATGCATTTAAGTTATGAGATTGTAAAGTTTCACCTGTTTTCTGTTTTAGAATTTAATTGGCAAATTGTCTACTTTAGAAGCCAGACTGGAAATCTCACTTACGAGAATGATGTTTTATGCATTGCAGAGGCCTCGCTTGAACTGCTGATCAGGCAAAGGGTAGTTGAACTTGATCTTGTCCAAATGATGAAAGCTTGGTGCAATGGTACTGCAGGTAAAAAGAACATAGGTTGGTCTTTGGGTGGCTTTCATGCAACCAGAAACTCCATGTCTCATGATCTATATAATCACATCCAAGCAAGGTTGGTCCTGGTCCTAGTTCCAGAACTGGTACTGTGTCCCATTTCTGATTCATCCACAACAAGATCATCAGTTCCAGTTCCATTTTTAATGGCTATGAAACCAGGTCAACCAAGGAAGCGGAGCCCATACGAGTATACCCACCCGGTCCGGTTCACAATCCCTGCTAACCGTTTTACCCAGTCTGGTTCACAGTCCCTACGAACCTCTTTACCCGGATCCAAACCTGGTCCATCCCTAATCAAAGCGTGTAGGATGATGCTACTAAAGCACATTTTAAAGACTGGGGAATGGCAAACACAGGTGAGGCATATATTGATTGACAAGAGGAAAGTGACAGTCAGAGAGATGAGGACATAAACAACGGAATCAATTAATGTTCACAAACCTTGTGTCTCATTGTGTCTGGGCTGATAGCAGTGAGAGACTGAGAGGCCTTCAATGGGAAGAATGTGTATGACTATTGTATAAACACTAAAAAAGGGCTGGGAATGACTATGCACCCTTTCAGAATGATCCGAGTATTGTCAAGGTTGACTCTTATTTCATTGGTTCAACTGAGATGATGTATTGATTGTTTTCTTCTCAAGGCCATTATTGCAATCAAAAGTTAGTTCAAATACAAAATAGGACAGTGAATGTTTTTCTTTTCAAAGCATATTGTTTCTGTCAAATGAATGCTAACAAATAAAACAGGCATTGGAGACAGGAGAGAGTTATAAGATGAAGGTACTCACAGCACTATTTGTTAGTGATGGTCACACAATTTGGAAAATCGTGCCACTTATAAATAAGGTTCCGGAAATACTACAACAAGCAAATGGCATTGAAATTTGAAGCCCACCACCACATTGACTGTTGCATTATGTGATGCATCATGTGCTACCTTTTGGCACTGAAATACGGATATACCGTGACTTATAAATCTGCAAAAAAGTTACTTGAACTGCTCACGCTTTTCCCTTTACTAGCAGTCTTCTTCTTTGTTCCTGCAAAAATAAAGTATTTTAACTATAAAGCAATGACCAAAAGATTTTAGGACTATAGTAAAACAATATGCATGTTTCAGCAATTTCCAAAAAGAAAGCCTGTTTGGTAGCCTGAATTATCTGCTCACCAACAGAATAAGCTAAACGGATTTTACCATATGCTTTCATTTTAAAAAAATAGCAGATTCAATCATTTCAGCCAAACGGGCTCATGAGTTGTTGTATGCCACATTAATGGTACCTTTAGAAGTTTTCGTAATACTGTCATCAACGTCCATCCCGTCATCGCTGTCACTATCAGCTTCAGCTGCTTGGCTTGTTGAGGCATCTCCAGCACTTGTTAATATCTCATCCAAATCCCACAGCTGTATATATTGAATAAAAAAAAGAAATAGTGCTAGTGTGAGTGATGGATAGGAAGGAGGGAAAACACATTGAGCAAGTACTTCTTTCATGTGCATTCTAGAATTCTCATTCATCATAGTTGTCAGTGGCGAAAATGGTGTGTGCCATAAAACACCTTTGGCGATCTGAAGAGGCTTCACCACAAAATGCTTCCTGGCAACCAGTATACATGTGGCAACACCATCAGTGTGCCATCACCACGCCATTTGCGCTATATTTAACAGGTTCATTTAGTTACTGTTGGCCGTTGGCCTGATTATAAATTAACCAGTTTGCCCGCCCATCATGTAAATTTAAAAATAAAACTAATTACGGAAATAAATAGAGACCAACTAACGTAGAATTAAAGCCAAAATGCCAGAGAAGTTGTGCAACTAAAGTCTCTGTCAGAGAAAGCTGTGCACGCCTATAGGGGAACTGCATCTCCAACAAATTACCAAACATTAAATTTACAAAATTCCTTGACAGTGAGGAAAATAAACTCCATTTAAATGCCTTGCTTTTTATATTTGACACTATCTGCTTGTCCTTCAAGTATAAAACTACAAATTCATTAGAGGAGATAAACTACAAAAGCTATTTTAGTGCTCATTGCAGTATACTCTGTATAACATTAAATTGTAGCATGACTTAATTTTTTATATATGTCTATTGCTTTTATTAGATGCTACTTTTTTCCAACAAATATTTTATATGCAGTATACTAGTTATTTATATTTTTGTTTGATCTGGGCAATCTTATAAGTGAAAATTCCAAATTAACAACTAAAATCCTATCTTTTGGATTGGGAATATGATGGAATAAAGCAAAATAGCTCACTCAATTGTCTGCCCTTTGATATGACGCAGCAGTCAGTCCACGCAATTTTCGACGCGATTTTCACTATGGGTCATCCGGAATAGTCTCTTTGAGACACTAGGGTAATGATGATGATGAACAAATAAAATCCTATCTGTAATTAATGGAAAACTTTATTTGATTGAGTAGACAAATAATAATTGACTTCTTAACCCTTAACCAGTTGACATATTTCTGAAGTCTTCAAGTTTTTTGGATAATAAGTTATTCTGGGAACTACATTAAACTGTTTTAACTTGACATATTTTGGTAAGAATGTGGCTATTCAACTCTTTTACTCATTTTTGGTGGTTGAAGTACAGAATTAGAGCCCGTTAGGTAACCCGTATTTCCAGCTTATCAGCTAACTTTTTTACCAAACACGTAACTTTTGATTCTGTGCGTTGAATTGTGGAATAATCAAAATAGGTAAGGTTGGACTTATATTTGCTGGCAGAATTGGCTGAAGTTCCTTTAAAGGGCTATTATGACATGTGGCGACGCCATAAATGCACCATCACTACAAAAAATGCCACGACAACTATGGCACTCGTACAAGAAATACAATCACATAGATACATAGATGTGGACCTTTAATGTCTGATCATGTGAGATGCTCCCAAGATACTTCTTGTCATATGAGAAAGCTGCAAATGTTAAAATAAGAACAAAAGTTACAAATACTAATCAGCAAAAAGATTCTCAGACAACAAATGCCAGCTAAGATTTCATGAAGTTTTACCAAGACCCTCAACAGGATATTCTGAATGTTCAGCAATTGGTTGAATTACTCTGTTTGGTAATATGCCCACCAAACTAAAGGGGAAACAAAAGGATAGTGAATAAAATTTTAATCCAGACAAATACAACAGACAACTCAGATAAATTAAGCAGTTTGCTGTACCTAATAAGCCCATTCTCACATCCAGCGATTACTCTGTCTTCATCAAGCTTCACAATGGAAAACATTTTAAAATTGTTAGGTTCGGAGGTTCCCAATATAGAAATAGTATACCAGTCAGTATCACATTAAATCTAAACACTAATTATGGAACTACTAAAAATGCACTCACTTTCAATAGTGTATCCACTGAGTTTGGGGACAAATCGACAAATCGATCACTGGAAAAAATCGAAGCAGCAAAATTGAGAATGAGAATAAAAAACAATATTAAGGTGAGATTTAAAGAGTTGCAGTCTAACAACCTGCAATCCTTAAAGAAGCCCCACGAGTACAGTAATAGAATTCCTCCCTGAGTCCCACATATAACTTTTCTACCGTTCTGATTAAAATAGATTTATGTTATTAAATACATAAGCATAATTAGACAGTTGGAATGTGAAATAAAACAAACACATACACATAAATAAATACATAGTAAATTAATATATATAGATATAATATACTCAGAAAAAATATAATATCTACCTTCATAACCACAACAGAAAGCAGCTCATCTTCTGAAAACTCTGACCGAGTTTGAACCTGGAGGTCAAATATAAAGAAAAATTTTAATGAATCAAGAACCTAACCTTCATGTGAAAGTTTTAGCGAAGCAAAATCAAAATAGCATGCATAAGTATTCACACTTAAAACGTCTTGGAATATTTATAAATGGATCTTTTAAACATGAGGGTGGGCATGCTATCACAGATATTGATGAGCATAGAAATGCAAAAAAAAAAAAAAAAACTGATGATTACCTTACTACTTCGTATATTGCAAACAGAGAGAGTCCCATCACCACTGGAGATAAAATTATAAAATATTACAAAGAACATCTAAGTCAAATAAAAGAACTACACAATGCTAATAGAAACGATGGCTTTCTAATTGGGGCGCATCTAATTTCAAGAAAAGACAAACATCGAAGAATGACATATTAAGGCTGTTATCAATCACAAATGAGCCAATAGTTCCAGAACCATATGCGAAAAGTTTGTAATGTGTGATGATATTATCATCATATAATAAATGGAGCATTTTGCCCTCTTCCCTCTTATATGAAAAGTGAACTTCCGTTCTGTCATTATAAAAAATGATACGCATAGAAAAGTGGGACAGGCCACACATTAATACCTTGTGACAAGTAATTTCATGGAATCCGATGTGAAAGTAATATCTGAGATGTACTCCTCGTGAATGTGAAAAGTACTACAGCATGAATGTTGTCGCGTATCCCACACCTGTAATTGTGAAACTGAGAAATTACTATTGACTTTCATTTTCAACTCCATAAGTTAAAAACAGAAATCTTATTATGCAAGAGTAAAAGCAGAATCGGTAAACACGAGAAATTGTTAAGAACACTCGTACAAGATCTTATCCAAGGTAATGGATGAGAGAAATAGAGAGGGAGGGAGAGGGAGAGGGAGAGACTAGAGAGAGAGAGAGACGTGTGGATCAATTAGAACTATGCTTAATACCAAACTAACCGGTGCCGACCTTGTCAGGACGCAAAAAGTCGAGAATCAATTCTTCAAAAAGTAATCAATTCAATAACTAAAACCCCTTATATGGAGAGTACAAGAGTTCTGAAAAGTAAAGGAAATGACTACAATAGAATTATTTGCAATCCTAAACTATGGATTGCAAAGCTAATACAACTAACTCATGAGGAAAGGCTAAGTAAAACCAGAATACAAAAAACTAAGAAGTAGATAAAAATAAACTTGCTGTCCAAATCAACGTTTAAAATTGCGTTCCGCCTCTACGCAATAAGGCTAGCTTTGTGATTTTTTAACATTCTAGGACATAAGGCTGAATCGCAAATACGCCATATGGAATACTGCGCCTTTTTGGAAAAGGCGTACGTTTATTGCGTACGCAATAAAACGGGTGCTGAGGCGCTATTTAAAAAACAGGGTCAGCCCAAAGTAAATTTAAAAAAAAAACTTCCGCTTCCACTAAGACGCGTAGTATATTAGTGTACAAGTTTGCCTAGAGTCTCTCCGACCTTCGTAGTTCTATTCCTACTTCCGCTATTTCTTCTCTGCGCACAGAAGAAGAAACCTTCTGCAACTTTTTCTTTGCTCTCATTCGGCAGGTATGGGTTTAATATTTTATATATTTATTGATAGATCATAGATGTTCTGGATGAGAAGGAAAAAGGTACTCCACTACGGATAATTTAATGCAGGAGTATTATTTTATTAGTTTGTTTGTAGTTAGTGGATTCATCTTTGTTATTTTAATACATAGTGGAACACGTAGTGGAATTTTTAATATTATTAGGAGTAATGTTATTTTTGTTATTTTAGTATTCCACACGTAGTGGATTCATCTTTGTTATTTTAATTCATCTTTTGGACTCTACGATCTAATAGGAGTATAGGACTAGAACTTTAATAAATTAGAAAATATTTATTTTAAATGATGTTATAACATATTTTTTGGATGGGTTTATGATCTCAATTTTGGATGTTTTCATTATGACATTAGTTACCTTTTAAATACTCTTTTACTTAAGTATTAATTACATTATTTGTTCTTTTATATTAATAAATTTGTTAAAAAAGTTGAGGCTTACGCCTCATTGCGCAATGAGGCTTACGCAATAGGCAATGCTAAGAAACCGCCTCAAACACGCAATACGCAATTTCGAACCTTGGTCCAAATCTAGACACTTAAAGTATTTGGCTGCACTGCCCAATGGCCCCTGAAACATAGGCTTCTGACTGGCCCAAAAGGAGCCCAAAACAGTAGAAGAGCATTAAAAATAACAAAATAGTAGTCTTTCTTAACCTAAGGAAACAAAGGGGGAAATAAAAGAATAATGTGTTTACGTTAGGCAAGGTTACGAATTGGTCATGGTATTCAAATCAACACCGCTTGGGCAGTATATTGGATCAAAGAGACAACTATGCTGCTAATATTAAAGGAAAGCTCGAAATAACTGTTAACACATAGAAAGAGTCTGGTTAGATACTTAGATGAAAATCCCTCACATGTCATCATTCTCTGCATTCATCTGTCCGAAAAGAAAGAGTCTGGTTTCAAGAACTTTATTTGGAAAAGAAAAAGAGCCCACGTTTAGATTTGAACTTTCAATTTCAATAAAACCTTGTAAACCCGAGCAATAAATTGTTTTGCCCAAGTACTTCAAATGCTCTTGGAAATAAGTTTTAAGAGTACAAGTGGCCATTCATAATTTGTGTTCCCTCCGTCCCTTTTTATTTAGCCAAATTTGACTTTTCAAGTCAATGATGTTAAACTTTGACCGGTTATATATTTATACACGGTAGTATTGATAATATGAAAATGATATGAAACTGTTCTTTGTTTAAAATACTATCATAAAAGTATAAATTTATTATGTTTCACATAAACATATTAGTTAAAATAATGGATCGAAGTTTACCATCTTTGACTGGAAATGTCAAAGATGGCTAAATAAAAAGGAAAGGAGGTAATATAAGTTTGTGATGGGACTGAGAAATTATGATTGAACTCCACTGTTAACTCCATAAGTAAAAATACTCAAATACCGCAATCTAATACTGCAAGAGTAAAACCAGGATCAGTAAACGCGAGAAGTAGAAGCTTAAAAAGAAATCAATGTGGTGGTTTTGTTTATCCTATGAAAAACAGGGATAATAGAAGCAAAATGTATTGACACTGGGCATGGTTACCAAAAATGGTCGCAGCAGTTAACTCATCATCCTATGAGCAGTATTTTGGATCAAATGTACAGTTATGCTGCTAATATAATTAATATGTAAACGAACTGCATAGATGGATACACTTAAAGAGGCTCAGCAAACTCTTAACATATAAGTTTTGACTCAGGGAAATCACATGTCATTGACCTTCATACTCCGTCCGTCAAAAAAAAGACTTTTTTTGGACAAACAAAAATAAAAGTTAGCTTTTGTTTTTACGTAAAATCAGTGTGAACCCAACCACAAAAGCCTTTAGTCGAGTACTCCAAAGTCCAAACTCCAAACAGTCTCTGAAACAAGTTTTAGGGCTACATTTGACCACAAATGGCTTGTAATAGCTTGTACCTTGATTTGGTTCACTAAAAAAAGTTGCAGCTTACTCAAACAGAACTCTTGTTTGCGGCTGGATGTGTAATGATAAAATTCAACCTCTACTAATAATGAGTTTCAAAAAATGTATTTTCAAGTTGTTTCAACATTTGGGGATGTAAAATTGACCTTTACACAACCCTCGTCATCTCCGGAGGCAATGGTTGACTCGGTTAAATTGACGATTCGATTAACAGCAGCACTGCATTCAAAGGTGTACCAACAGGACAAAGTAAATACCTTATTAGCACTTATGACACAACTATTTACGAAGTATATATATTTTATACAGCTACATTACACTAGGCATTAAATTTCATTTATATCACCCACCCATGAGAATTCTCCACACGAGCAATTTCTGATCCAGTTTCAACGTCAGTAGCAAGTATAGAACAATCTGGAGATCCCGTTAGGATTGCTGAACACACATTAATTAATAATAAATAAGACTATGATTTAGATTTTCCATAATATGTCATCAGAAAATAGGCAGGAAACTTGTAAATTAGCATGGTTACCGCGTCCATCATTGACAAACCTGACCGCTCTACAGGATTCAGTATGCGCGCTAACTGTGAACAGCCTATAATTCATGTTTACAGAAATAAGCCCTCAACAGGCAGAAACTAGACATTAAAATAATGTATGTGTATGCATATGGGTGTATTAGCGCGCAAGTAATTATGGTTATACCTTTGTACTTGAGAATCCGCTGTGTAACGATGCCTACAATTATAAATTGACTTTAGCATAATAATTTAGCTCTATTTCTTTTTCTACTCGTTAGAGAAGTGAATCAAGTGAAGAACTGAACTTACAAAAAAAGTTCACCGCTAATAAGACCAGTGGCGACAAGATGATCTGACGGATGAAAATCAAGGTCGAAGGGGAGCATACCCAAATCCACCTCCATCGATGCCATTGTTGCTTACACGAAGCTAGGATAACCCCACCACAATGGAGAGAGGTTTTGTTAGGGTTTTTCACTTTTTCTTATTCCGACAATTTATTTCTTTTTGGGAAAAGAATCAAAATTGTCCATGTAGCAAAATTCCGTCGTGGACAAGTGAAATTATTTATGCACAGATAATTTGACTTGCGTGTAAAATATCGTGTACAATTCGTTGTGTACACGAAGCATGGTTGTAAGAACTTATACTAGTAGGATTTTGAAAAGGAAGTGATCAATTGAGTACATCAACTTAGTGAAAGTGGAGGAAAAGATACAATATATTGCATCTGATATTCCTAAGTAAATAAATTTCATTTTCTAGTGTTAATTGAGTACACGTTAGAGTAACACATTAATATGATTGAGTTGGCTAACAAAATGCTTAGCAAGAAGGGAAAGTCGACCAAGGTTCTAGCTTTGACAATCAAAAAGTCAATCAAACAAGGGAAGTCGGCAAGACCAATGTTTTGGTGTCGACCTTCAGGTCATCGTCCTGCGGGGGGTGTCAACCTGTAGGGGTGTTGTTCTGCGAGGTGCATCGACCAACGAAAAGTCGACATATTAGCATTTTGTTAGCCAATTCAACCGTATTAACGAGTTAATCTAACAGGTGTACTCAATTAACACAAAAACCCGAGTTTTGTGCTAAAAAATGTCAGATGCAATATAAGTGTACTTTTTAGTCCACCTCATACAAGTTGGCGTACTAGATTAACCTTTATCTCGGTTTTATAAAATAAAAATGATTTCGGGCAATTATAGTTGAACATGCATTTGGGATTTTTTTGTTCTCCATTGAAAGGAGAACGAAACGTCCACCAAAAACTGAAACAACTCAAACTCAACATGTGAGGTTCTGCATTGAAAACCGTTCAAATCCGAACCAGGATTGAATGAACTAAAAGAATAAAGTATTGTATTCTACCAGAATGATTATCTTATACAATATGATACAATCTTGGTTCTTCAATGAGAATCATTTCAAAATCGTATCAAGCCGTATTGTTCCAAACCGGTACGAACAATCGATTATTTTATATACTCCCTCTGTCCCGGAAAATTCTTCTCACTTTGACTTGGCACGGAGATTAAGAAAGTGAAAATGTGTGGTTGTGTTTGTGTAAGAAAAAAATGAAATGAATGTGAACCATACAAATTGTCCAAAAATGGTAAGTGGAGAGAATTTTTTGGGACGGCCCAAAAAGAGAAGTGAAAAGAAAGGATGACACTCCATCCCTGAGGGCCCCCCAACACCAACCGGACGGCACGATGGGAGGATGTAAATTGGACTATAATCACAATCTGACAGATAGAGAGTGGGGCTCTATCCCCGGTACTTGCAGAGGCCCTATGTATTTTTCAACATAGAAACCCCTCATCGCAGTTGCCGGGATTCGAACCAGAGACCTAACCCTTGTGACACTCCCTTACTACCAGTTGATCATAGTTATTTTATTTGCTGTATTGAGTTATGTTTTGTCTGGCATAGTCAAGATTTTTTCAGTACTTTTATTTTCAGAGTTGATGTTGTTTTATCCAAATGCCATTATAAAAAAAGAACTAATATTTAAAGTGAAAGATTAAGTGATATGTACTCGGGAACAAGTTCCCACAGAGTTACAGAGTTATCAGAGTTTCAGAGAGTCCAATATGTTTAGTGGGTCGCTCCCCTGATCTGTCAGATTGGCGCCTTTGAGTACATATCACGGGCCCACAGAGTAAAATCAGCCACAAAGAGTATTACAGAAACTTTAATGAGATCTCTTTCAGAAAGTTTTACAGAAAGTTGTTTTTGAGATCTCTTTCAGAAAGTTTTACAGAGATGTTTTGAGAAAGAAATTTTGAGATCTCTCCAGCAGTTTTGAGAAATTATTTTAGAAAATATTTTCCTTTTGAGATCTCCCTCAGAATGTATTTGAGAAGTTGTGTGTTAGTTATTTGTTCAGTGCATGCTTATAGCCTAAATTTATCTATTGATAAATTGACATAGACTTCTACATAATTTTGTGGATCCATAGTGACTTACTAAGCGTAAAGCTTATCAGTTTTGTTTCTTCGCATGTACACATACTAAAGCTAAGGGTAAGGCCCAGGCCGAGGAAGATGATGAGAGAGTGGAACGCGTGCCAAGATGAGTTAACGGGAACGACCTTGGCGGCTTCTAGCTAGATATTATTTTGTTTCAGTATTTCAGTGTTATAATAAAGTGATAAATATTACTTTATTTTTATTTGAGGATTTGAAGTTCAGTAAATTCTTAGATCCAGGTGGTTATCACATTTGCTGGTGATAACTAGATTTTATTGAGTTTTTATTTGGAGCTATATTTTAGTTATATTTGAGATTTTATCAGGGTTATTCTTCTTAAATAGATGGTCATTATATTACAGTTATTTTTAAAAGTAGTAAGTTAGTGTAACGTTTCCTTTAACCCTGAGAGGGGCGTTACAAATTTGGTATCAGAGCCGAGGTTATCCCGTAACTTCATTTGTCACCGTACACGTGCTCGTCATCTTCCAAGTAAGTACTTATTTATGTTAAAAGTTATCTATGTGAAAATATGTTTGAGTGTTGTTGGTATTAGTTAGATAGAAAAGTCAAGTAAGAGTATTATATACGCAACTCGTAAAACCGTTGTTTTATTACGAGTTAGTTAGATTAAATTTTACTCGAGCTCCTATACTCTTGAGTTTGTTGGGTGGTGGAGATGTGATCCACTCAAATGGTAAAGAGACTGAGATTGGGGCCAAGGGTAGGTTACTCGAGGCCGAAGCTAGGTTACTTGTGGCCGAAGCAAGGTTGCTTGGGGCCAAAGAAAGCCCACTCTCTAGAATTCTCTTCCTATCTCTATGAATAGATCATTAGTAAACCCTAAGTTGACATCACCAGAAAGTGTAATAGCATTCTCTCACTAATAAAATCTCTCTAGTTCGCACAATGGACTAGCCAGTCAGTCTGACCGGTGAACCACTTTAAATTCTTGTGTTCTTTTTTTTAGTTCTCGCATCTTACAATCGTGTGTGTGCGTGTATTTGTCGAAGCCCTAATTCCTAACAGAGTTAGGTCTTCTATTTCATATTGGAAGTACTTAGGGCCGTTAGCTAAAACACCATCGTTCTTGTCACATCTCTCAAAATCACGTATTTGCGGTTTTTTGACTTTAGCCTATGTTGATCTTTCATATAAAATATTTCTCATAGAGGTTACTCATGATTAAAATTCGAGTTATAAAAAAAAGAGTGTCATATAGTCTTTATTTTCTCATGATTAAGTAATTGAATTACGTCAGTGTTATTCCAGCTATATTTTTATATAGCTTGTAGTTTATTTATTGCCTAGGTCTTGTTAATTATATTTCTTTTAGTTAAGAAGAATGATAATGAGTTTGTCTGACATTTTGTTAAAAGCATCACATGTAATTGAGTTTACATGAGATGAAGAATTTCCAATAGCATACAAATCAGTTTGTTATGTATTTTATTTACTTATTAATTAAAAATATTTTCTAAATGCCCATGTGCACCGTATGTACATTATCTTATTATATTTTCAAAAAGAAAAATGAATAAAAATTAGAGGATTTATACCTTATAGCTTAATTTTCTAATGTAAAAATGTTGAAGCTTCACTTTAGATTTCGAAAGCTCTTTAATAGTGGATTCAAATGTCTTATTTTATAGTGTTGAGCATTGGTATTTCATGTTTGGAATCTTGAGTTGCTGGGAGGGCCCCTCATCAATTTGATGGTTCCAATAGGAGATACCGGTGGTCGGACACCACTTTAATATGATCATTGGTCAGATTATATGTTGTCTTTAAGCTGTAAATGCTTATTTCAAAATAAGTTTTAAAGTGTGTTGATTAATTATTTAATGCGTTTAGTGATTAATGATTAATCACATGACAGTGATGTCCTCAAAAGTATTTTAGAAGAAAGTTTGAGTTTTAAAATGTCTCAAAGAAATTTTCAGAGTATTCTCAGCTTTTGGCACTGAGAGTTAAACAATGTTGTACATTCTTTTTACAAAGGTTGTCCTCACATTTTTTTCCCATTGGTTACCAAAAGGATATTGAGTCTCACCACTTAAATTTCTCTAGAGATCTGCCATTAAAGTCTCTATATGTGATTCAAAAGTCTTTAATAGTATCTGGTTCGTAGAAGTTAGATTACAAGAGCTGAGTGGAAGGATTAGATTAAACTAGTTTCTGGTAGATCATGAGTCTCGGAACCTCCTCCTACACACTATGATATAGGGATCTGTGAAGTGTGTTTCAATACGATGTGACCTAGAGTATGAAGATTTTGATAGAATAAAGAATATGGTAGTATGGTACTATCAAGCTCTCATAGAACCATTATGTATGAGTAATGGTAAAGTGTATCCCAACGAGCTTGTGTGGGGGAACTAGTATGCTCTATGAGTAATAGAATAATTGATGGGAGTAAAGAGTATAAAGATGGCACCACAAACTGTTATAAGTCAAAGGCTTAAACCCGGAAAGTTGGGTAAGTTGTACTGTGCGACTTTTGATTGAATAAATCAGTATATATCAGTGGAGTTAAAATTAAGAATATAAAACCGATAAGAAGGTTCTAGCTATGATGTTAGATTTTTCTTTTGAAAGATATCGTGTAGATTCCTTGATCAGTTTATTATTTACAAATGAAATCTAAAGAGCATAATAAAGATGCCGTGTAAAAAAAACAAACAATGGATTCTGAGTTAGACTTTTACTGCGGAAAATTTCTTAATTTAGTCTAAGTTAGTCCTAGATATGACCTTTTACAGTTTATTACCAGATGACCTATGGAATTATGTGTTACTTGCAGTTTGGCTTCCTTATTTTTACATAGTTGGAAGATTAAAGTTAGAAGGAACATTATTGTGGAATATTAGCGAATAAGTAACTTTCGATAATGAACGGCCCAAAGGAAGTTTACAATTAAAATATTATTATTTTTGTCTCGTATAGACTACATGTTTGAACATAACACATTTTTATTAGTGAAGGGATGAAGGGTTAAAAAAAAGTCCATAGCATTTTTCCGA